ATGGAGTACTACTCAGAGGAAAAAACAATGGAATCTTGAAATTTGCAGGAAAATGGATGGAACTCGAAGAAACCATTCTGAGCGAGGTAACCCAATCACAAAAAGACAAACATGATATGTACTCACTCATATGTGGATTTTAGACATAGAATAAAGGATTACCAGCCTACAATCCACACTGCCAGAGAAACTAGTAAACAAGGAGGACCCTAAGAGAGACATACATGGTCCCCTGGAGAAGGGGAAAGGGTCAAGATCCCCTGAGCAAATTGGGAGCATGGGAAGAGTGGGGAGGGAGCTACGAGAATGAGAAGGGAAGAAGAGGAAGGATGCAGAGGTCATGAGGGAGCAGAAAGGTTGAGTCGGGAAGAATAGAAAAAAGGGTATGTGATAAGTAGGGTTTTAGTTGAGAGGTGGTAGGGGAGGACGGGAGGGAGAAGGGAACTGGGATTGTCATGTAAATCAATCTTGTTTCTAATTCAAATAAAAAAAATCTGAAAAAAAGCATGCACATGCATAAAATGTAAATAACCAAATAAAATGCTATAATAAGGTCAAGGGATATAGCTCAGTGGTAGAATACTTACCTAGAGAGTATGCACAAGGTTGTAGATTCAGTTCCCATCACAAAAACCAAACAGTTGGGCATGGTAGAAAACACTTTTAATCCCAGCATTCCAGAGGCAGAGATAGGTGGTCTCTGCCAGTTCAAGGTCAGCTTGGTGGAAACAGAAAATTCCAGGCCAGCCAGAACTACATAGTAAGACTCTGTCTCAATAAGTAAGTTAATACATAAATAACCAAAGCAATGACAGTAAGAAACCCCAACACCTACAGAAAACACACCTTAGTAGAAAGTACAATTATAATTATCATCCATGCCTGTCTGTCTGTCTCTGTCTGTCTGTCTAAAAAGAGAGAAGGAAAAAAAAAAAAAAGGAAGAAAAAGAACAATCTCTCTCTCTCGGTTAGCCCTGGCTATCCTGGAACTCACTCTGTAGACCAGGCTGGCCTTGAACTCAGAGATCCACCTGACTCTGCCTCCCAAATGCTGGGATTAAAGGTATTGGCCACTACGGCATGCCACCACCACCCACCACCCAACCCAGCCAGATCTTAGTTTGTAATACATTTTTCCATGAAAGAGAACCAAACATCTTTAGGAAAGAAGTTGATTCTAGGCTCAAGCAGAAAATAAATGGCCTGGAGCCTCTTGTCATCATCAGCGAAAGAAGCCTTGCATGCAGCCACACGCGCACCCCCCCACACACACACACACAGTGGTAGGAAAGAAGTGTGTCACTGGAATTAATTGAAAGAGCTCCCAAAAGACAGGCTGAAACCAATTAGGAACAAAGTAAAGAAATACTTTTTCCTAACCCAAATAGCCATGTGTCTGTCCTTGGAATCATTTGGTACCTTAGCCAACAGGACAAATCTGAAGAGAAGGAATCTAAGTATGTGGACACTCTATCCTGAAGGAGGGAGGGTAGTAACCCTCTCCTTAATTATGGGTTATGCCTATGTGGGGCAAAAAGAGTTGTTTTACAGTGGAGAAATCCTACAAACAGAATAAGATGTGGTGCCATATGCCTATAATCTCAACATATGGAATAACGGTCTAAGGCTAGCCTGGGCTGCATGGTGAGGTCCATGCTGGCCAGAGCCACAGATGAGACCATGTCTTAAAAATAAAATCATACCGAACATTTCACTGGTTGACCAAGATCAGCACCAAGACATGAATCATGTTCGTAAAATGCACTTTGGATATGGTTCGAT